AAAATATAAGACAAGATTTGACTTTGGGTCTTCTTCTTGTATTATGATGGCTCTGATACGAGGCAATTACCTTTTAGTCTCTCAATAGAAGGCATTTATCATTAAAAGTATCAAATCTGTGTGCTACAGTATGGGATTTCTGTCGCATAATATTGAATATTACGTTTATTTACAAACCCATTACTTTTAAAGGTAGCTTCATCAGACAATCAAATTTTAGAAAAATATCTGAATCTTCATGAACTGTATTAAGCATATGTATTGTGGTTTGAATCACCGTGTATGTTGACAAACATATTTTGAAAATGTGCGACAAACCAAAAACGTAATAGGTAAAAAGCTTTTTTGGAGGCCTGGGTCACTCTGTATATAGTATGTATAAAACTAGTAGCCTAAAATTATTTACAATTCGTCCCATTTAAAAAAAAATAACACACCGTACAAATAACTCTAGGAAGAGGTATTTGTACGGTGGTAAAAAATTGTTTAAACGAGGCCGAAGGGGCAGATATAATAATGCAATAAAATGTAGAAAAGGGCGGGTAAACACCTACGTATTTGTTGAGCAAAATTCCTTTAGAATATCGTATATAATGACCAAAATATGACGCAATTTTAAGAAAAAAGTCACTTTCTGGCTTATAATAAAGTTTCAAATGCAACGTTTATATTCAAATTTGTTATGATCTACAACAGTTAAGTAGTAATTGAGTCGAATAATAATTCAATTACCGGCTACTACGTTCCTGTTTTAATAGCTCAAAATTCAACAAATATAATTAGAAATTATTTTAATTGTGAGAGGCTCCCTTGTGGGACGCCTATGTACGGCGATTACGGCGCGGCGGAAACAATACCTACCTGTGAAAAGACAAATTCGGGTAATTTGAGCTTATTTTTCCACACATTTGACACTGTCGTACCATATTGAAAATTCGCAGATTCAAAAGTACGTTAAACAAAAGCAAAACTACTGAAAAACACTGAAAAGTTCACTTCGGACTTGATTCCGACTACAAACACACCGTAAGCTAAACGTAGTACGCTATAACGGACCAATGGTCGTTGCGAGGGGTGGTGGGACGGACGGCTCATTTTCATTCTGGAAGACTAGCAGCGACGTTGCCAATAGTTCTAGACGTTTCAGCACATTAAACAATAAACATGTCCTTTAATAGTAACGCATATATCCTCTGGTTAATCACGCATACATCTTTAAAAATAAACTATTAATTTAATTAAGAAATTGAGATTTATTGATATCCGGTGAAGGTTTTAAAGTCACCTTTTCTACAAATCAAACTAAGCAGATAGGCGCAAATTTGAGATGTGGCAATGTCGCCTTCTCTATCTCATTTGGTTTTTACAGTACGTAGTCAACCTCCGATTGTTTGATCGGGTTAAAATGCACAATGTGATATCTGTTCTTCCTAAATCTATGGGCTTAACTCACAAATATTTGGTGACCTAGAAATAAATGCAGATATTTTAAGGGGTGGTAGATCTGGACATCTGGTTCTGAAAAGAAACATTTATTCTCTTTACCATTTTTAAAATTCATTGAAAATAACCGAGTTATTTAACTTTGAAAATTTAAAAAAAAAATTATGGCAACATTTTGAGAACCGCTGGCAAATATCGCCAACACCATCCAATTACCCGGATCGGTGCCCGGATCTCAGATAATTCGACGCCCTGTGTTGCGGCATAAGGCCGTATTTATAAAAATGAAGTATTTCCTTCAAAGGTAAAGGTAGAAGTAAAAGGTAGAGCTCACAAGGAGAAGGTAGAAGGAAAAGGTTTTGTTTAATTTCATATTCATATTCTTTTCCTTTTCTTTGCAAGCAAATCCTCGCAGAAAAAAAGGAAAAGGTAGACGAGCGCAATTTACGAGTATGTTGCCACCACACATATTGCAACTTGCAGTTACAGAGGTAAATGAGCAAATTAATTGTTGTTAGGTATAGAGTGTTTGATGGTACTTCTAAGTTGTACTTGGAGCTTTGAGTTGTATTTATATATTTTATTGAGCTGTGTTACGATGGCAAGTGACGGGGAACTGTCAGACTACCAAGTAGAGTTACAAGACACCGCCGCGGCCGGTGCTATTTCAACTGTCCAAAAGCATGTTCTATAACAACTCTTTCTTTCTTTAACCCTTAACCGGCGTTGCGGAGTCCCTGGGACTCTAGTAAAAATCCTCTAGTAGCTTCCTATGGTGATGGTATCTGTCGGATGTTGAGTCGACTTCGATCTGTTATCACAGCAAGTGCATCTAACAAACATCTTAGAATCCGTGGGACTCCGCGACGCCGTTAGTGTAATAATATCAATTTAGTGACTATGTCTAAGAAATTAAAGGTGCCTAAGGCCACAGATCCTAACTTTGAAGAAACTATGTTAAGATGGTTTGATGAAAGTGAGAAAAGGGTTTTCTGACCAAGATAGAGAACCTGAGAGCCATGTGACAACAGAAAATGTTATTACAAGTGATCACGACATGACGAGTGCGATATCTGCCAATGAATCTGATGATCAACATGACATGGAGGTTACTGAAACTTTAGAGGACAGTGACACAACTGATCCAACTAAAAAATATTTCTGTTCACTCAAATATTCAAAAAAAGTGTATGTTCAATGCGTAGAAAATGACGAAGATTCCTAAATAAAAGCTATACTTTATTTGTTTTTAAACACTTGTCAATTTTTTGCAATTTTACATTAGGTGTGGTTGTATTCTTTTTTTTTGTAGTTCTCACCTTGGTGATCACGTTTTTCAATGAGTAATGTTTATTGTTTATATTTTTCTTTTTGTAAAATACGATGAAATGTAGCATAATGTTCATTTTGTACAAACTGTATTACTCTGGGTTTGTTTGCTTTTTTTTAATTTATTTTGTAAATAACATGGCTGTAAAAATAAAAATATATTTCCTTGTAAGTGTTTAACGATGTATATAACGAAAAAAAAAATGTTTTGATAACACTAATACAGCGCACCTGTATATTTTGGAGTCCCAGGGACTCCGCAAGTTAATAATCGATTGAAAGCAACCTGCGCTGCGTCTTCCACAATGGGGAAGGGTTACATCAGATATGACATTATACCATAGCCACTGTCTCCCAACAACACGGTATTAGCCCGCGGTTACATTGGACGCGGGTCCGTGCGTTTTTTTAAACGTGCGAGCTCTGATGGAATTTACTCGCACGACTATTTTATTTTAGTGGTTACATTAGATGCGCGTTCATGGTGTCCTGTGTGTCGAGTTTGTCAAAACGGACGCCACTACATTGATGCTGTCTGAGGATTTAATGTTAAAATAACTACTTATGAACAGAAGAAAATGTTAGGTAAATGATTTATATGCAAGAAAAGGGGAAGAAAATGAATATGTAAAATATTGGGTGAATTAAAACAGCAATTGGTCAATTTTTTTGAATATTTTAGAATGTTTCCAGCAACATTAATATATTCTAAAATAAAAATAAACCTGGTATTCAAAAATATTCAATTTTTTTGGGAATGTATTGGGCTCAGAGATATAAAAATTCGAACGCTCGGAACCGTGCACGTATTAAAAAAACAAACCAGTTTGTTTTCATCCAACCAACGGAAATCGACGTACGTGCACGGACGCGCAAACTCCGCTGGAATGTAAGCGCCTGCGTAGATACTATTTGTTTGTTTTTTGCTGCGTGCACGTCCGAGCACGTACGACCAAAAAAACGCACGGACACGCATCCAGTGTAACCACGGGCTTAGTCGTCCGCCGCATAACTTCATGAACTGAAGAATTTTTCCAAATTCGACTGTCATGCACAGAGCCGGGCCACCGTGCATCGATATTCATGAAAACGTAATTTTGATCACATATGCCGATGCCTTGAACATTAATACTAGCATAATTCTTCCGGTTTACATATTCATCCTCAAACAGACGCGGCTTTTCAATTTTAACATGCGTGCAGTCGATAACTCCTATTGCAGTCGGAATTTTTTTTTCGCTGACCATTTCACTTTGGCTTCCATAACTTCTTTTTCGGTCGACGGGAACTTGATTCAGTCAGCCGCCTTGTCACAATGAGACGGAGAGTGGTATCGGCAATCCTGGGACTGTAGGCTGTGTATATCCCAGTTCCTCACCTATATCGCTCTGGAAACCCGGATCTGCCATGTACCGTAAAAACACTTTACGGTACATGGCAGAATTAAAATCTGCTCCGGACTAGATGCATATTTTCTGAAGCAAATCTTTCAATTTTGAGGCAAATTCTCCTGTTTATAAATATCAAAAAAGTGAAACCTTTTCCTTTAGAGCAACACCTTTTCGACCCAAACCCGAACCTTTTCTTTCTTTTTGCTTATGAATAGAATGTGAAGTTCGACTTCTACAAGTAAAAGCAAATGCTCTTCTTTATGAATATGGCCTATTGTCAAGAAAGTATATGCATAAAAGGAGTTTAGCAAGATTGCAGAAATGCAGTACATTTTTAAGATGGTGTTGTTATTACACAAAATAAAATTAAAAGAAAACACAGCATTAAAAAAAGATATTTATGACAGATTTAGTAATGACAGAGACAACTACGAGACGATCAAGCGCATACGGGAATTAGGTCTGCCGGATCTCTGGCCAGATCAAATTTCTCTGGAAAATTAGCATTTGGAGTGAGAGGGCGCTGTTTCGCAAATTTAAATCACCCGGTACATATTTTACTGCTTTTATTTCCGCTTCCGTTCTAGTCCCGCTTTACGCGACGCCGTGACAGAGGCCGCCATTGCTCATATTCTCATATATCGATTGTTGATTTGATTTTTTCGCTTGCGAATTTCCAAATTATTTGAGTTGTATTAGCAATATTATGTATGTTTAAGTGATCACTAATATCCTATATATTGCGCGAATTACCCAGAGGTATCTATTAACCACTATAATTAGTGTATTTCAACGCAATTAGTTAATTTTTATTTGAAGACCAACATGGGAACAAGGCCTATTCGTTCAAGAAAATGTTGTATTGATAGATCTATGGAGGAAATAACAAAGATGAGTCCAGAATTTAGCCAAAATGCATAATTTTCCAAAAATACTGAAAAGTAAATACATATTTTAAAACGTATGTTTAGTATTGCAATAAAACTGATAAAATTTTCTTCTCCTGGTGATGGGAGAAGCCATGACAAAAAAGACAAAGATAATTCTACTACGAAAATACAATATTCTTTGCCTGAGGCTAGCCAGCTTAGCTTGTTTAAAAATGCTATATTAAAAACACATTTGTGAATTTTATTTGTAGATCGACATTTGCTGTTTATAAACTTTCGAGTCAGATATTAACTCTCTTTGAGGATCAGCTATATTTTAATAATTGAGGAGTAAAAAAATTAATAATGTTTTGTATTCGTAGACCAAAAATATGACAAGAATCTTTGAAAATATAACACAATGCCTTTTGTAATTATGTTGTCTTGTGATGATAGTAAAATTTGGTTGATATAAAACTGAAACATACCTATTCCTGCTCTATGAATGACTCTGTGATGACGTTACCCAGGATTTAACTAATTCAGGTGAGCAGTTAAGCCCTAGGCTCTAGTATATATTTTTTTCAAGTTATTTAAAATACAGGGTTGTAAATTAGCTTCATATCTTTCTTCATATCTTCTTCGTTTTCAAGTGTTATATAGTTTCACTTCCATGTTTTTATAAAATATGCAGGGAATATTACACTAAATTTTAAAATAATATTTTATATGTCAAATAATACCAATGTTTTTTAAAATATAGCCATTTTTAAAGATTAACTTTTCTATACATTTAAAAATCACAAAATTGTAAATTCACATTTTCTTTTTAATTCAACGTATGTATAAAACTGTCCTCACATTTGATTTATACAAAGGTACTGTATATTGCAGGGCATATATAAAATGCGTCAAAACTAGATGAATACTTGTCCACTTTATCAAATGGGAATAGTTTTTATCTAACTACATATATCGATAAATAATTTAATTTCAAAATATTTATTGATATTTTGCAGCTCCATCAGCACAATAAATCATGTTATGTAATTTTGTAGAGAAAAAATAAATACAGTATTTTATTTTCTAATGGGACTAATAACAAAATTGAACATTGCAGCATAATCTTAAGATCAAACGAACTTACCTTAAGTGATGTTCAATCTTGATTATATGTAGACCTCGTCGAAATAAATAATAGTTTGTAGTACCTTCGGATTAGTCCGAACCGATCACTATTTTAAAGCTGAAAAAGCAAAAACAGCCGCCGCTCGCCCCGCCGCACTGCTCCATATTCAGTCTATTTTAAAGCTGTTGTTGCAACGGGAATAATTCAAAAATGAATTATAGGGTGGGTTAGGGACTTATTTATTTCAACGAGGTAAGTTCGTTTGATCTTAAGATTATATTTCGGCCTCGTCTCATAAATAATAGTTTGTAGATGTTTAAATACATACATGCAACAACTCATTATCTCATATTTTATATTTATAATATTTGAAGATGATTTCTCATATCACTCGTGACACAAAAGGTAATAACAGATAACTAACAAAGAAGAAACATTCTGTAGTGACACTTAAATTTTGCCTACAAAACATTCAAAGTAAATAGAATATTCAAGACTAGTTAACCTCTGGGGCTAAAATACAGTGAGCCAATTGTGCATTTTCAATTAAAAGTCTATCATATAATCACAAATAAATAAATTATTCTAATCTCTGCCCTGTCATTGGGTTTAGGTTAGGTTAGGTTGCTCGAGTTTGGGATCATGTTTGATCCCTCACTCGGAGGCCTTGAGCCTATTGCGATACCCCTGTATTTGTCATTGGGTTTAATCACCATGTATTTTTTGTTAATTAAACTTAAAGTTTGAATTCGATGAACTGTTGCTATTGCTGTTAGGATTATTTAAGTTTCTTTGTTAAAGATTATAGAGATATGTCGATATTAGATTAAATTCTTATATAATTCAGAACATTACTAGGGTCCCAAGTCTTCGTGCCTTGGTTTTGGAGGGTTTAATCCAAATATACCTTTAATGAACCTTTTCATTCGAGAATCAGAAGACATGCCTGTCATTTGTGCCAGCGCAGAAGATATAGTTAAGGGTACCATAAGAAACCCCATTCTTAGGCTGACTAGGATAGATCCAAGACATTAGGTACCGTAAGTACAAAAGGATCCAATTTATTTAGCATGTAAAATTGTTACCATAACTTTCCTTATTGAGTACTGCTGGAACGTAGAACTGGATATTGAAGAGATATTGATTATACGGGAATTCCTTGTCGTAATAGCGGCACCCCGACTCCCTGCTACCAGGAAAAAGTTTTTCGACAATAGAATTTGGTTCAAAAATTAGAGGTTTTGACACTAAAAGTGACTTAAAAAGAAGAAAAAAACATTATTAACAAGTCCAAAGGGGTATGTGTATATACAAGGATTCTCTCTGCCTTTTCCCCAATACATTTTTGTATAACTTTTAAAGCCCATCTTCTATATCTCCGGACTCCCACCCAAGAAACAAATTTTGTGTGATGTGTGAAAAACCAAATTATCTCGGTAATTTTTCTAAAAGCAAACACCGCACCGCAAGACTCCATTCGGTTTCTTTGTATTCTTCTAGATGCTCAGTCAACAAAAAGTGTTGTCATTTGAGGCAATATATGAGTATATAAGAACATAAGTATTTCGTTCTTGCCACCAGCTCCACATTTTTCTTACTAAATTGTTTAAAGTCTAGTACTTAACACTACCCATGATGTTAATCATGCACACAGCCGTTGTATTATCAATACAACATAGGGTATTACAATTTAAACAATTAAATGAAACTTCTTAGACCAAAACATACAGCTAAAAGTTCTGGTTCATTTTTATGATAGACTTTCTCTACTTTCGACAAAAAACAAAAACAGTATGACCGTGAAATTAGGTCCCCAGCCATTTATATTGTGATATTTGAATGTTGAATTTTACTTGAACACCAAGCGAAATCCATGGATAAAGAGGGCAATATATACTAGCGATGGGAACTATCGAATGAATTACACTATCGAATGGTTAATGAATGAATGATTTCAACTATCGAATGGTTTTATTCGAATAAAATCATTCATTCATTTGTATACTAAAGCATATGTGACAACCTCGCCGTGCGACTAAATGGTTATCGTTGAGCCACGACTATGGAATGCTTTTGATAAATAAATTTAGTATTCGTTTGATTTTTGTATGCGTCAGTGCATTATTAGTTCTTCCAAATTTTTATAACTTTGCCGTATAAATACTGTGCTATTTTTGCGTTTATTAAAATAGTTAAAATACTAAAATAGTAGTTATTTTTTAATTTTATTTATTGACGATTGTGTGCATGTGCAGGTGGTCAAAAGTTTTCCGAAAATTTGTGTGGTTTTCCGTAGTCCGATCTTTCAATTATTTAATTTTATATGGTATATGGCTATTTTTTAATGGGAAATTTTGAGAGGTAGCAATTTTTAAGAGAGATGAGATGAACTTACAATTAATTTTAAAAATACATATTTGTATTTTAGATGTTTTAATAATATTAATTAGTTGAACTTAATAATCATATTTAAGTAATGTAGTTAAGTAAATGGTTATCGAACTCAAACTATGGGGTGAGAAAATTAAAATGAAAGTTTTACACGTGCAAATTTAAAAAAAAAGTTAACGATGTTTGTATTTTGTTTATGCTAATTCTCTTACATGTACTTTTTTGCGAAGAAATATTTCATTTATTTTTTAAAGTAAATGCCAGTAAAAGTAAATATAATTTTTAAATAGTAATAAATATAAATAATTTTGATTTCTAATTTTTTATTTATATTTTCCTTCCATTACACTGCATGCTTAGAAAATTAATAAATGTTTATATTTCATGATTTTAAAATTTGTTCTTAATATAACAAATTAGTTCTGTAATTATTATTATTCAATAAACCAACGTTGCCAAAAAATTTAGAGACTATATTATTTTTAAATAGGATCTAATATAAATAATTTTGACATCTAATTTGTTGTTTATATTTTGCTAATACTTAAAAAAAATATTTATATTAAATCATTTTAAATTTTGTTGTTAATAGGTATAACAAATTATTACTGTTATTATTATTTATTAAACCAGTCTTTGCTTAAAAACATTAAAAATCATTTTCTTACATCCAAAATAACAAGTATTATTGCAGTGTAACAACAGGATATTAATAAAAAAAAATTCAGAATATATAGACATACTATCCCTAACTAACTAAAGCCAAACAATAATATTCTTTGCTAATATCAACTAATACCAAAATATGGCAACAGCGCCCTTCATAATGTATTTTCTGTGTAAATACTAGCACCTCAATAAAAAAAATAATGTGTCGTTATCTATATCTGACTCCGCAAAAAATCAAAGATGCCGGCTTCTTTCATAGCATTGCCACCGACCGCTGTCGGGTTTGGAAACCTACGTCGCCGGGCGACAACTAAAATTCAGTTAATATTTTATTATAATCGATCCTGACGAATGAATGAATTTCATAAATGAATGAATTTTATAAATGAATGGTTTTTGCTGCCGAATTACTAGAATACAATATTTCAAGGCAGATGACGGATCTATTCGATAATTTTTATTCGAATAGTTTTCAACAAATGTTTTCTTACTAACTATCGAATTATTCGAATGAATTGCAACTATCGAATGTTTCGATAGTATTCATTCGATAGTTCCCACTACTAATATATACATATCTACCTCATAATTACCTCCAGAATTTAGTAAGGCTAAAAAATGCTTCTTTTCGAACAACTTAGTAACAGCTTAGTAACAACTGTATCAAAAGCATACCTACTTAATAGCTGTAGCAGCTGAAATTAACGACCCAATGAACCGTGAAAAATCTCTTTTACAACTTGTCATATAAGAAAATCTTCCTAATGTACTATTTGTATTTTAAACGCCTTTCCTTAAACAAAGAAATAATCATAGCTTGTGAATTATACAAAAAACCTAAATGTTTATAAATTTGATTTTGTATGAGGTTACTTTTCTCAAATTACACTATAAAAATAAATCGAAAATAATGTCTCTTTCACATTATTCTTACAAGCTTCCAGAAAATTTGCAAAAAGAAGGATATCATCTAAATAGGGCCACTAATAAGAAACCTCTTTTTCTAAGAAGAGCCGTAATAAATTTTAAACATCTTTTTAAAACCCCAAAAGGCAAACAGTTCTCGCAAACTCATAGCGATTTGTTAATATAAAGCCTTATATATTTTTAGTGTGGGTCTTTAATTGGAACAAGGTAAAGTAGACCTCTTTTAGATCTTCTGGTGCCATAAAACAGTTTTATGTTGTTCAATTTTCTATTGTTTCCTTTTAACAAATTCATTAAATCACTTAAGGTTAAGGATCAATCGTTCCATCTGGTCTTGGAATAATAAAGATATTGGAAAGAAACTGATCAGTTCTAAGCTTCGTCCAAGAAACGGTTTCATTTCCAAATAGAAGATAGAGACTGGAGTGGATCTTAAAGTCTTTAGTAACTTTATTTAAATTTATGAGGAGAAGCTATGTTCTTGACACTGACTCTGAATGATGTCCTCTCAGATATAATTCACCTAGAAGTCTACCAATGTCACTTAATCTTTCGATGTGTGGTCAATTATTTCCCCCTCCTCCTTTTTTAATTATCTTTGTAATTAATAAGGCGATAGGTGATATTGCAGCATCTATTTGTCTGTTACTGCATAAGTCGCTCATTCCGTCTTATAGTATTCTCGGATAAGGCTCCGCGCGCACTGCATCGGATCGGACCGACCAGCAAAAGCGACTGCGACCATCGTACATATAGACGGCGCCGGCGTCCACTAAAGCATTTCGGCCTGTAGAGGCCAGATTCCTACCTCTACCTATCTACGATAGTCGAGTCACCGCCTTCGCCGTATCTCGCCGGACTGGTACCGATTCAGTGCGCGTACACCTTAAGACCGCCTTAATTTCGGGATTTATTTTAGGAGTATATAGCTCCTGGCAGCGTTCAGG